TTTTTTTTTCTTTGTTATTCACAATTCTTTAACTAAGCATTTAAAAAATATGATTGGGAATAATCCAGCATCGGCATTTGCTCTGGATTTTGTGATTGCATGCTAGGCTGCAGCGGTATCTCTAAGTAGAAAGTTCTGGTGCACTTTCTTAGCATCATAGATTAGCACCTGTCTACCTATCATTTCTCAACTCAACATAACTTGTAGCTTGCCTGGCCTTTTGTTAACTGTTTCAAACTCCATATTTGCATTAAAGAAAGAAAAAGGAGAACGGCTGGCTTCGATTGCCCGGCCTTGCAAGTTTAGCCCGGTTTAGTGCTCTAGACGACCTTTCTTTTGTCGCGTTCATTCTATCCTAACTTCTCCTGTCTCGCTCAATTCTGCCATTGTTTGCTTCAAAGTGTCCGCAATGTCGAAGTTTTGTTGATTTCGAGGACTAGCACTGCTACTCTGTCAATTGACGAGTCGTGCTCGCTACTGTATTGGGAACTAATCGGTTACTTCTATGTGATCGTTATGCTAAGCGTATACGTCGCGCGTGCTTTGATAGCTTAAGAGGTGAACGCGAAACATTTAGCGTTCCTTCTCAACACACAGCCGCTGTCCTTAAGGCTGTATCGTATTTTGTTGGCATTTAGGAGTGATACGTTTACCAGAGTTTTAGTAACAAAAATTCTGGTAGACTTATAGTTTAGTAGTCTGTGGTCCTCAGTTGGGAGTCAGATATACGCACTAGTAACTACATGTAAGGCTAGCCTAATAACGTAGAATAATGAAAGCAAATGTAAGGGGTAAATTATCTCTAGTTCTCGAGAGCAGCAAAAGGCAGGGATCTTAGTACGAAGCTAATGACATGTTGGTGTCACTCACCACACAGCATCAGCTTAAACTGATAGACCCCGACGACTTTCAGCACACATACACCACGATAAGCCCACGCGACACCTTCATTTTCACGTGACCCACCTACAACTATATTTCCTGTAACATGTACTGAACTAATTCTGACACACACACGCACGCACTCACACACGTAAAGGAACTACCGATGGAGGGAAGGCTAGCCCCCTCGTGCACACGAATAAGATGGTACGCCCTTGGTTGACTTAGTATTCATCACCACCACCACCACCACCATCCTCATCATCAGCCTGACTACGTACACTGCAGGACAAAAGCCAATACCATGATCCACCAGTGAACTCTGTCCTGTGCTTGCTGCTGCCACTTTGTACCAGCAAACTTCCTAATCTCATCGACCCACCTATTTTTCCATCTCCCTTTCGTGCGTTTGCATTGTCTGGGAATCTAGTCAGTTACCCTTATTAACCACTGGTTATCCTGCCTCGTGCTCCGCATCCGACGCATGCTCATTTCTTCTTGATTTGAACTTTCATAACCTTAACCACCGTTTATTCCCTGATCCACTCTGCTCTCTTCTTGTTACACCTATCATTTTCTTTTCCATTGATCGCTGCGTCGTCCTCAATTTAAGCAGAACCCTCTTAGTAAGTCTCCAGGTTTCTGCTTCATATAGCTAGAATGCAGCTGTTAAGTACCTTTCTCTTGAGGGATAGTGGGAATCTACCTGTTATAATTTGAGAGTGCTTTCCAAATGTGCTCCACTCCGTTTTTATATTTCTAGTTACTTCAGTCACATGGTTTGGCTCCCCGGTTATTACCTGTCCTAAGTATGCGTAGCCGACCCTTTACAACTTCAAAGGATCTTCACGGGAAACTATTACATATCTCGAAACGCGCTTCCCTTCCGAGGTGGTTGTGCATTACCTTCGTTTTCTGCAGACTAATTTTAAGACCTTACCTTTCTGCTCTCATTCTTTAACTCCGTATACATGAGTTAGAATTTGCCCCCTGAGTTAATCAGCACTGCAATATCATCGGCGAAGTTCACATCAATAAGGTACTTTTTATTACTCCTATCCTTAACTCTTCCCATTATGGGCTTTCGAAAACCTCCTGTAAGCCCGTGGTAAACAACATTGGGGAGATTGTATCTCCCTGGCTTACACCCTTCTTGATAGGTATTTTGTTGCTTTCTTTATGAAGCACTGTGTTGGCAGTTGATCCCCTGTATATTTATTCCATGGTGTTTATACATGCTTCATCAACGTCCTTATTCCGCAGTGTCTGCATGACTGATGGATCTTATACTGAATCAAACGCCTTCTCGTAATCTATGAAGGCTATGTATAGTGGTTGGCTGTATTCTGAGCATTTCTTTGTTACATGATTGATAGTATGAATGTGGTCGATTGTTGATTAGCCTGTCCGAAATCCTGCTTGTTCCTTCGGTGGATCGAATTTCAATATTGCCTTAATCCTGTTAGCAATTGAATTTGTAAATAGCTTCTATACGACGGAGAGCAAGCTGATCAGCCTGTAATTCTTCAAGTCCGTGTCATCTCCTTTCTTATGTTTGAAAATTATGTTAGCATTTTTCTGAGTTTCTGGCCATGCTTCCCGATGAATAATATTATTAATATGTAGGGTTTAACGTCCAAAAATTATAATATAGTTATGAGAAACGCCGTAGTAGAAGGCTTTAGAAATTTCGACCTCCTGAGGTTCGTTAACGCGCACATAAATATAAGAACACGGGCCTCAAACATTTTTGCCTCTGTCGGAAATGCAGCCACCATGGCCAGGATTCAATCTCTCGAACTTCGGGTTAGCAATCGGGTGCCATAACCGCCACACCACCATGGCGGGAAGCCACTCGTTGACTTACAGCTGTATTATATGCGAACTTCACAAAATGATTGGCTGCATTTCAGTGTGGGCGGAGCGTTCAATTTTTTTGCGTTTGGGGCCAAAGAAAAGATGGACGCAGGGGGTGTGGTCATGGCGTGCCTACTCTCCTAATGCGTCTTGTTCATATTCAAGCCAACGAAGATGATCTTACTTAGTGTAGAATTCAAACTAGTTTATGAACTTGGCGACTGTGTTATCAGCTTTTAAAGTAAATTTGCCATAGTAGCTTTGATTGGACAATTGTTGTCGAGAATCCAAGCTCAAGAACCATGTGTTCGGTTTCCATAAAACTTGTAGCTGGGCGAGTTGGTTCATAATACTGGGTAAACTGGTGTGCGCACAAAAAACAGACAAACGACAGCAGAGAAGAGACAGGGACAAGCGCAGACTTTCAACTAAATTTAATTCTTCGTCAACCTTCAATTTACAGTCGCACAGAACATAGTCAAGTGGTCACGAGGACAGAACCTAATAGTTTACAACAGGCCACGCAAAAAATGACGCTCACTATCAAAAAGCGAAATGGATGTATCACTAACACAGGTATTGCCTCTAGCAGAAATATAAAACGCTTCCATCAGTTCCCGGGCTGTGGTATCAGCACTCCGACCCAAAATCCTAATCTCCGAGAAAATCGGTGAGCACGTGCAAGCTTTGCAATGCGCGGGCAAATGCGTGATCCCGTTATTTTTAAGTGACAGCTCATGTTCCCTTGCACGGTCGTTCACGCAACGCCCCGTATGACCCACGTAATATTTCCCACAAGACAGCGGTATTTCGTAGACAACGCCCGTCGCACATTTCACATACACAAACGCGTGCTTCTTTCCGCAACCACCGGATCTCTTCTCGCCAGGGAAGATTCTGGGACAAAGTCCAGCCAACTTACGTGGGGCGGAGAACACGATCGGCACACCGTGTCTACTCGCTATCTTTTTGAGGTTGTGGGAAATACGATGCATATAAGGCATCACCTCCGGACGCCACCTGCGACGCAGGCCAGGGTTCCCGCTGGAACGGACTGCTTTGGCATCACGCAGAAGCACTTCAGCGACTGCCGAGACTACCGTGCAAGGATACCCAGCGGCAATTAAACGCCGCACCTGATCATTAAAGCTTTCTTGCATTGCATGTGAGCATGACTTCTCAAGAGCGGACCGTAGACACAGTTTGGCAATCCCCCTTTTTACAAGTTTAGAATGCGCAGAATCATAGGACAAAAGGGCCTTCTGCGCACGGGGACAATAACGCCAACATAGGTGGTCATATAAAACGAGACGTAAATCTAAAAACTGCAACGAATTATCAGTAGGAAATTCATAGGTGAAGGTCAAGCCCTTACCGCACAGTTTAAATGCATTAAGAATGCCGATCGTGTTCTCCGCCCCACGTAAGTTGGCTGGACTTTGTCCCAGAATCTTCCCTGGCGAGAAGAGATCCGGTGGTTGCGGAAAGAAGCACGCGTTTGTGTATGTGAAATGTGCGACGGGCGTTGTCTACGAAATACCGCTGTCTTGTGGGAAATTTTACGTGGGTCATACGGGGCGTTGCGTGAACGACCGTGCAAGGGAACATGAGCTGTCACTTAAAAATAACGGGATCACGCATTTGCCCGCGCATTGCAAAGCTTGCACGTGCTCACCGATTTTCTCGGAGATTAGGATTTTGGGTCGGAGTGCTGATACCACAGCCCGGGAACTGATGGAAGCGTTTTATATTTCTGCTAGAGGCAATACCTGTGTTAGTGATACATCCATTTCGCTTTTTGATAGTGAGCGTCATTTTTTGCGTGGCCTGTTGTAAACTATTAGGTTCTGTCCTCGTGACCACTTGACTATGTTCTGTGCGACTGTAAATTGAAGGTTGACGAAGAATTAAATTTAGTTGAAAGTCTGCGCTTGTCCCTGTCTCTTCTCTGCTGTCGTTTGTCTGTTTTTTGTGCGCACACCAGTTTACCCAGTGTTCGGTTTCCGACTACGGTGGCCACATTTTACACCAGTGTACTTACATTACGCTGCCGTTAAAGCACTGCAAGTGTTCAAATTAATCCCATTCTGGCCGACGTCATTATCATATTCTTTCTTGGCGAGTATATTCCCAAAAATAATTAAAACTTCCTGTGACAAACTGTATATAGTTGTCACTGTGATTTTCTTATTTTGAAGTTTTTTTCAGTGATTTTGGGCATACTTTTACAAGCAACTATAGGCAAAAACTCTGCGGCATACCTTGAGGCGATCCTTTTTCAGCTGCATCCAGTTTCCGAAAAAAAAATCGGGCTTTGGACCAGGAATGCCGTATCTTTGGAAAAGCTGCTGCTGGTGCCTCCTTTTGAGTACCCAGGTGACGCACAAAGCCACCGCAGTCAGCAAAAGTGCTGCCGTCACATCCCATGTCGCAATTTTCATGACGTACACACCGAGTGAGCTCGCTCGATCAGTTCCTGAAAGGTAAAGAAATGCAAGGAAATCTACATAACCTAAAGACCATTTTACGAATGGGCTAGAAGGCCATCATACAAGGCTGTCAAACTTTGTGTTTGGCATCTGAACAACAAAAGGAACAGCACTACGGTAAACGCATCCAAAGGTTGAGTTGCTGCTTACGGTGTTTTATGGCCTTAATAATTCATGTCGCAATGTAGGAAAAGAAAAAAAACGGCTTAACAGCCCATGGTGGCATCACCTAGATGTCTTACGGGAAATAGTCTATCAGTCAGTCAAGAACTTTAATATATGGTCCTGAGGAGTTTAAGCCACCAGGGTGCCCACGTGGGACATCCTAGCAGCCGCTACCGTAGGCGACGCCCGAGTCGGGGCGGGAACGTGGTGGCGTTCCGCCAGTTCTTGGGCCCTCTGGACTGCCTTAAGTTGGTTTCGGAGATTGGGGCTCCTGAGTGCCTCCTCCCAGTCGGACTCACTGGTGAGAGGTCCCTGAGGTAACGCGGGACATTGCCAGAGCATGTGCGCGAGTGAACAGTACACTTCTGTGCAATCTGGGCACTGTGAATTTATGTCTGAGTTATAATGGCTGAGTCGGCCCCGTGATGGGTACGATCTCGTTTGTAACATTCTAAAGGCTACTTCTTGCGCGCGTTCTAGTTTTGAATGGGGTAAAGGGTATCGGCTTCTGTTGTGTCGGTAGTGGGAGGTAATTTCATGGAAGGTGAGTAGTGGGTCATTAAACTGCACGTCTGGGCCCAGCTCTTCGGTGGCTGATTGATCGTCACGGCGGGTCAGTTCTCGTGCTCGATCATGAGCCATTTCGTTGAGGTTGGGTTGTTGTGGGTGAACGTCTTTGCCCATGTGGGCAGGGAACCAAGAGAGGTAGTGCGAGCCCGTATATTTCCGTGTTTGTAAAATGCGGGCTGCTTCTGGAGCGATGTTGCCGGTTTCGTAAGCCCGAATCGCGGCGCGAGAGTCTGTGAAGACATTAGTGAGTGAGGGGTCGGTCATCGCTAAAGCTATAGCAACTTGTTCGGCTATGGCGCTTGTTGATAGCCTAACCGAGGCGGCTGAGCGTAGGGCTCCGTCGCCATCTACTACCGCGAGTGCGAAAGAGGAGGAGTTACCGTATTGCGCTGCGTCGACGAATGCGGTAGAGTTGCGATTCGCGGCGGTACGGTTTAGGATCGCGCGAGCGCGGGCCAGCCGTCTGCCTTCGTTGTGTTGTGGGTGGACATTTCGCGGAAATGGGGTTACCATGTAAGTAGCTCGGACAACTCTGGGGAGGGTTACTGCGCGTTCAAGGCAGGGGTGTGGGGACATGCCGGCCTCGCTTAGAAGTCGGCGGCCTGCCTTGGAGGAGGAGAGGCGGATCACTTGGGCCGTGGTCTGGGCCTCGATCACTTCATCGATGCCGTTGTGCATGCCTAGTTGGTCGAGACGGGAAGTGCTCGTGTTTTGAGGCAAACCAAGGACTTGTTTAATGCTTTTGCGCATGAGTGTGTTTAGTTTCGTCTTTTCTACCTTCGTCCAGTTGTGGGCAGAGGCGACGTAATTGATGTGACTCATTAGGAACGCGTGGTATATGCGCAGAAGGTTGGCCTCTCCAAGGCCTCGTCTACGACCCGAGACTCGCTGAATGAGTCGGAGCATGTTCTCTGTTTTTGCTGTGATATGTTTAATTGTTCTTGCATGACAGCCAGTGGCCTCGACGAGGAGGCCGAGAATGCGTATGGAGTCCACTCGGGGTATTCGCTGCCCATCTTTGGCGTGTAGCGCTATGGGTAGATCACCTAAGGGTGTTAAGTTACGAACGCCTTGGCGAGATTGCCGGTACAGTAGCAACTCTGATTTTGTGGGCGACAAACGAAGTCCAGTGTTTTTTAAGTAGGCTTCTGTGGTATCGAGAGCAGTTTGAAGGGCTTGCTCCAACTCCGCCAATGAGCCTCCTGGCACCAGATGGTGATGTCATCTGCGTATATAGCATGGTTTATGTTTGGGATGTCGCGGAGTTTGTCAGAAAGTCCCTTCATTACTATGTTAAAAAGGAGTGGAGAAATGACTGCCCCTTGTGGTGTCCCGTTGGAACCTAATGTGTAAGTATCGGATGTAAGTTGCGATAAATGCAGCTGAGCTGTTCGATTTTGCAGAAAAGAACGAATGTACGCCTGGAATCTTTTACCGAGACCAAGGCTGGCAATGGATTCCAGTATAAAGCGGTGTGAGACGCTGTCGAATGCTTTAGTGAGGTCTAGGGCGAGAATGCCACGAACATCTCTCGTTTTTGAGTCGAAGATCTGTTTCTTTAGTAATAGCATGACGTCTTGTGTTGAAAGGTGCGGACGGAACCCGACCATGTTGAACGGAAAGAGTTCGTGATCCTCTATGTAGCGCGATACACGATTTAGGATGACATGTTCAGCTGCTTTTCCTATGCATGAGGTTAGGGAAATCGGGCGTAGATTGTCGAAGTTGAGTGGTTTACCTGGCTTTGAGAGAAGGATTACCGTGGCCGTGCGCCATTGTTCAGGTACCTGGCCAGTTTCCCACATGTAATTAATGTCTTTTGTGAGTAGTGTGATGGCTTGGTCGTCTAAATTTCGCAACAGGCGGTTGGTTACCTTGTCAGGACCGGGGGCTGATCTGCTGTTGAGGTTGTGTAATGCCTCCCGAATTTCTGACTCCGTGAAGGGTTCGTCGAGTTCGGGTATCGTTTCGCATTCTATTTCTGGGTAGTCGGTGGGTTGTGCTGTGTTTAAGGGGAGGTGACGTTTGGAGATTTCTTCAAGAAAGGATGAGTTTGTTCCTCCCATCTTTTTGTGCGAGTGTAGGAGCCGGTCTATGGCATGACTCTGGTTGTTTTTTGTTTCGCAGTCGTCCAGCATGTATTTTAGGAGGTTCCATTTACCCCCAGTTCGCATGCGGCCGTCGACTGCCGAGCAGAGTTCTTGCCATTGGAGTCGTGTGAGCTCCGTGCAATATTTGGCAATGTCTTGGTTCAGTATTGATAGACGTTTTCGTAAGCGTCTGTTTAGTCGTTGTGTTTTCCAGCGCGCGAGTATTGACGCTTTTGCCTCGAGCAAATGTGCGAGGTGTGGGTCCATTCTCGGGACCTCGAGTTCTGTTTGTATTGTTTTCGTTGTTTTGGCTATGTCTTCCTGTAGTGAGGTGAGTAGTTCGATGAATGTGTTGTATTCCTTTGTGTTGTTTTTGCGGAGGGTGCGGAAGGCATCCCAGTCCGTCAGCGTGAATGTACGGGGTGGGGCTGATGCGTTGGGTAGTTCGGTTCGTATGATGAAGTGATCGCTGCCCAGATTTTCCTGCGTATTGGTCCAGGTGTGGCCTGTGACGTTACGGGTAAATACCAAGTCCGGCGTAGTGTCGCGTTGTACCGATGTTCCAAGTCTCGTAGGGAATCGGTGATCTGTGATGAGTGTGAGGGACAAGTCGTCAATTGCTCGCGTGAGGTTAGTGCTATACATTTATTTTCTTTGTCGACATTTGCATGCAGCAACATAAAAAAAATCTTGTCATGGGCAATCATATTTTGTTGGATAGACACAATGGCATCTTAGGCCTGCATAGTGACAAGCCCTGTGATACTGCAGCTAGGTAAATTAGTAGTATTCTGCGCTCTGTGTTTATTGGTTCAATAATAATTAGAAGAGCATTTTTGTAGACAACTGTACTTTGTGCAGAGCATGTCTGTACAGTGGTTGGCTGAAAACATTAAATTAATTTACACCTCAGATACGTCGCCTGAGGGCATTGCATGGGGGGAGGACATAAAACAGCCTAGCTCACGTTGCAAAGGGTTGTTCTGCACAAGTAGCGAAAATGACAGGCAACGCTTTGAGTCTAAATTATTCGCCAAGCACAACTCACCAGGGTGGTTTTTTCATTGCTCGTTTAAATTCTGCAAGGGTATACTATTCAGAAAAAAAATAATTTTTAGAGTATGATAAAGTGACAAAAAAAAATACTGGCGAATGGGCTTGTAAGGCAAGTGCTTTCGCTCCATTACCATGAATCCTGGAAAAAGGCGAAGTGTGTAGTGTTCGCGGGTCTAATCGGAGCTACGCAATGCAGTTTGCTTCGATTAGACACAGAGACACGCATAGCGTTTTCTATAAATAATGCGCACCCTTCGGATCTTTATTGTTCAAATACGCCTGAAAGAAATGCCCCACGACGAGTACGAGTGTATTTTTCTTCCTCTAAAGAAATTGAGGTATCCAATATTTTGATTTTGTCGTTTATATATGCAAAGCTTCGTCTCTTCGTGCTTGCGCTAAACAGGTGATTCTTAGCAAAGTTTTTGCGGGTTGCCTTGGATCACATTCATCTGGCATGTTTTTCCGCAAAGCTTGTTAGCGTAGCTGCAGATGTGTCACGGCAATCGTAGTGAGACGCTATGCGGCTGGTAATACCATTGTAGAAAACAGCGTTCATTTGTATTGCTCGCTGAACACTGTAGATTTTGTCCCTCGATAGTTTGGAACTTTTTTTCTGTCCTCCTCATTTACGTTATGCGTACGACAGCCGCCGCACTTCACTCCAACCAAAATGACCATTAGGCTTAGGGCCGTACTTATTGTGCCATGGTTGTTGTGAAGATCGTAGATATTCAGTTGGTAAAAGTTTAATAATTGTTAAAGTGTAGTTTAGATCAAAACTAACTCATGAGTGGTCCTATTTTCGCCTTCGACTACACAAATGAGAAGCTTAAAACAGCGAGAGTGGGCATTGCAACGCATAACTGCTGCCAGGGACGTGCAGCTTCCTACGGTGCGAGCCACAACGATTCACTGCTAGAGCAGGTTGGTCTTGATTATCAGGCTGATTCAACTCTCATACTTTGTTTCTAATTATCAGTTCTATCGATGGCGTTTATGAAATACATTGACGAAGTTCGACCAAACTTCAAGGAAAGCGCACCCACGCCAGGGCGGGGGGGGGGGGCACTCACGGGTAGGCTGGAGCCTTTTTTCCCGAAATT